GTAATGCGACACAAAATACATACATTTTTTTTTTAAAACTCCAAGCTGCCGCAGTGACAGGGTATTGTGACCAGAGGCTGTGAAAATGCTCCAAAAAAGACTAAAAAGTGCCATAACTTCTCTTTTTCATATGGATTAGGAATGACATGAGGGTGAAGACTGAACTGAAGGTGAATTATTCCTTTAATAAACTGCTGCCAAAGCATGTCAAAGATTAATCTTAAGTCTCTGAATTGAAGAGCAGTACAGCATATTTTTACTCCAGTAGTATGTCTGTCTCTGCTTTATCTTCATGGCCCTAAAAGCCCCCTAAATGGCCCTAAAAGCCCCCTGTCTGCACTTTATGCCTTCAGGAGAAATGGAGCATGAAAATATCAGTCAGTCAGAAGTAAACTTCTCAAAAGGAAGACGCCTGTATGAAGCGTATTTCAGCAGTGCTTTATTTTGATGACATTGAATTTGCAGCATGAGCATGCAATGCTAGTCTTCATTAAAATGCATGCTTTTGACTGTCCAGGAGAAATTTTCCCATCTGTTTAGATGTCTTGATGACTTTGTGCCTGAACTGACTTTAGGCTTTGTGCCTGTAAATGGAAAGATTTTTTTTCTCTGTCTGCTATGGAAAAAGAAGTCTGTCTCAGAGACCATGTGAGAAACTAGTTAGGTTCTTTTGTATAGAAATTTAACAGTTGGTTTCTAGGTTCATCTCTGTAAAATTCCAGTTTTGAAGTGTTATTTTGGGGAATAAGCTTTTAAGCAACGCTCTTTATAGTGGCATTATTGCTCATATGTAGGGTTATGTATCTGAACAAACCCCTTACACTAAGTATGAATGATTTCTCAAATCATGTTTTGTTGTAGAACGGTGTGCTGTTGCTTTTCTAAGCATTTAGTTTTACAATTTTCCACTGGCAGATGATGAAATTAGAAAAAACTTTAGACTTACACTGAAGAGCCGTATCTAGAGACAAGAACATCATATATACTTAAAAGCAGACTGACATGCGTCAAAGTAATTCACTTAAAACACCCTAAAAATCATTCATCAGGGTTACTATAAATCAAATCTAAAAGTTAATTTTATTTTGGATAGCACTTTTAACAATACACATTGCTTTAAAGCAGCTTTATAGAAAACTATTATGTTTATATTTATAATATCCTTATATTTGTATTCTTTAGTTGCATTCAGCAGAATCGGGCGATAATATATTTTACATTTTACAATGATGCAATGAAAAAAATTTATTTAGAAATTGTTAGTAAATTTCACAAATAATTACAAAAAACTGACCATTTAATAAAACATGAAATTTTGAAATAAACAGACTAAAATAGTATTTTCTTGTAAAATGTACTCCAATAATTGCATTTTATACACTGTAGTAGGCCTACTGTATATATCATTTATGAAAGGCTACATGAAATAGAATAAACATTAACTGAAATAAAATACTTGAATTGGTTTAATTTCAGCTAGTTGCCAAGGCAGCATTTCTCATTTTCATTATTTAATTTTACTTGATGTACTGAAATAAGTAAAAGTGAAAAATGAGTGAAAACTAGCCTATATAGACATTTTAAAATCTAATCAAAATGACAAAAAATTACTAAAACTTTAACTACGTTTTAATATAAAGAGATGAAAAATGGAAAAAAAATCTAAATATAAACAAAAAATCTTTAAAAAAATCTAAACTATATATATATAAAAAAAAAACACTGCCACCCAGGATACCATACCAACCATAAAGTATGTAGGGTTATGTATCTGAACAAACCCCTTACACTAAGTATGAATGATTTCTCAAATCATGTTTTGTTGTAGAACGGTGTGCTGTTGCTTTTCTAAGCATTTAGTTTTACAATTTTCCACTGGCAGATGATGAAATTAGAAAAAACTTTAGACTTACACTGAAGAGCCGTATCTAGAGACAAGAACATCATATATACTTAAAAGCAGACTGACATGCGTCAAAGTAATTCACTTAAAACACCCTAAAAATCATTCATCAGGGTTACTATAAATCAAATCTAAAAGTTAATTTTATTTTGGATAGCACTTTTAACAATACACATTGCTTTAAAGCAGCTTTATAGAAAACTATTATGTTTATATTTATAATATCCTTATATTTGTATTCTTTAGTTGCATTCAGCAGAATCGGGCGATAATATATTTTACATTTTACAATGATGCAATGAAAAAAATTTATTTAGAAATTGTTAGTAAATTTCACAAATAATTACAAAAAACTGACCATTTAATAAAACATGAAATTTTGAAATAAACAGACTAAAATAGTATTTTCTTGTAAAATGTACTCCAATAATTGCATTTTATACACTGTAGTAGGCCTACTGTATATATCATTTATGAAAGGCTACATGAAATAGAATAAACATTAACTGAAATAAAATACTTGAATTGGTTTAATTTCAGCTAGTTGCCAAGGCAGCATTTCTCACTTTCATTATTTAATTTTACTTGATGTACTGAAGTAAGTAAAAGTGAAAAATGAGTGAAAACTAGCCTATATAGACATTTTAAAATCTAATCAAAATGACAAAAAATTACTAAAACTTTAACTACGTTTTAATATAAAGAGATGAAAAATGGAAAAAAAATCTAAATATAAACAAAAAATCTTTAAAAAATCTAAACTATATATATTAAAAAAAAACACTGCCACCCAGGATACCATACCAACCATAAAGCATAGTATATGCCCGCTATTTGCAATAACAGTACAAAGACGATTACTAAAAAAAAAATTCTTTGAAAACATTACATTTTCTTTATATGCCCTTCAAGTTGATGTGAATAAAAACACCACATAGCATAGTGTAGTCCTGCTATTTGAAATATCGGTAAAAAGACAATTACTAAAAATTAAGTTGAAAAGTTTATATTATCTTTATATGCCTTTCAAGTTGATGTGTATTGGACACGCCTGTTCTTTTGATACATATGTAACTCAAACGGGCTTGTAGGTCACAGCACACATCCCTTTCCCGTACAGGAACTCCAGAGCACATGGGAAAAACAACATGCTCTGCGAATCCAAACCTGCGGCTAGGATAACTCTGCGGCTAGGTTTTCTCCCTCGCTAGCCTTTCTTCACCTTTAAGTCATTTTGGTGGAGCATGTGGAAGTCATTTCAGCCCCCTGCCTTCACTAGCTGGTATGAGTGTCACCATATGGAACCAATTAGATCTTTGTAGGGGGACAGGCGAGCTTTTTTAAAAATGGCAACGTCTGCCCACCATCTGACCCGTCCATGCCACTTTAAGAAATTCCAACAAGATTTTTTTCCTGTCCATGCTCATTTTGATATCAAAGCCCTTCAAATCATATTTACCGTCTGCCCACCATCTGACCCGTCCATGCCACTTTAAGAAATTCCAACAAGATTTTTTCCTGTCCATGCTCATTTTGATATCAAAGCCCTTCAAATCATATTTATGTGTGCATCGTTTGTAGCTGTGAATTTTGTTATGTCGCTAGATCCAAACTCACGATGTCTTACGCTGATTGAGCTGAGCAGGCAAATATACACAGTAGTGACTGGCACTTTAACACACTGACCTACTTAACACACGACGGCCCAGCACGGGCACAGAGTGCTATACTGCTCTGCCCGTTTACCCAGAAGTCTCTTTACACAGTTTGATGTCATGTTCACATTGTGTCAGCACAAACCAGTGTGTAATTTAAGCCTAAGATTGATGTGGAGTATATACTTGGACTTATCACTGGATCTGGACTCGTAGTTTATTGAGTCAGAGGTGATTTGTGTGAAAACGTGTTGTACATTTATGCTTTCTGGCGTTCAGACACATCACTCAGCTGAACTGTAATCCATTACGCCCAGCCGGCTCCATTAAATTAGGCTGAATTGAATTTGCCCGTCTTGTTTTCCTCTCTCTTGTTGATTCTTAAAGTGTTTCCTGTCTGAGATGATCATGCTAGTAATAATGAGAGTTTTTTTTACTTTTTAAATGTACTTTTTGAATGGCAGTGGATTTAATTTTTGCATTACTAAAAAATTACATTTTGCAATATCTTTTAAAGATAAGTATTTTTGTTTTCATTAACATGAGGTTATTTTCATTACTGTTCAAAAGTGTTTATACTTTTATTCAGCAAGAATGCATTAAATTGATCAAAAGACATTTCTAATAAAGATTTTCATTTCTAATAAATTTCTATTCATCAAAGTATCCTGAAACGTTTCCACACAAAGTTTCCACAAAATTATATTAGAATGATTTCTGAATGATCATGTGACACTGAAGACTGTGGAGTAACGATGCTGAAAATTCAGCTTTGCATCACAGGAATAAATGACATTTTTAAATCTATTCAAATAGAAATTTTAAATTGTAATAATATTTCACATTATTACTGTTTTTACTGTATTTTTGATCATATAAATGCAGTCTTTGTGAGCAATATGAGACCTCTTTTAAAAACATTAAATCTTACTGACCCCAAACTTTTGAACAACACAGGTCATTATAGCACTTAATATGAATCAGTCCGTCTCTCTGTAAACACATCATGTTTTTGTTTCTCATATTTTTTTTCTCATTGTTGTGGTGGCTTCATTCACATGTTCTTAAGAAAAACATTCATCATCTTACAAAATCTTCTGATGGTAAAAGTTGTTGGGAAGTGCATGAAATGCGACTGTTTTGGTTGTTCATTTGAAATTACTCACATTGTTTACAAGTAACTGCTGTATTTTCTTGCCAAAGCCAATTTTATTCACATTAATGACCCTGATGGGAAAGCTCTGGCTATGAAAGAGAGAGTGGTGTATTTCAACTCAAACTAATCTGAACTGCAGAACAAGTCTCATTTCGGCCAACACCTACTCAAATGAAACCAATAACAAGTTATTGATTGTAACTGATAAAGAACACCAGGCATGGTTTGCTCCCTTCATTCAGATTCTCCAAATTCAAAGCGAGTCTGCACTCTCTCTTCCTGTCAGGCCTGTCCACCACCAGTCCACGGCTTCTAACCAAGAGTCTGTCCCTTGAGCCAGGCCCCTGCCTCGGAGCCCACGAGACCCCACAGCGACTCTGCTCTGACCCTGGACCCCTGGAAGCACAGCACTGCAATGGCACAAGTGAGAACGGACCTCAGGACGTCCCGCCTCCACCCCCTAAAACACGCCCACCTTTACCTGGGCCAAAGCCTCAAGGTACGTTCTGTACATTTAAAGGCTTTTTAGCAACGTCAAATGACCCCTTTAAAGGGATAGTTCAGCCAAAAATTAAACTTCTGTCATCATTTACTCACCATCATGACACAAAATAATGTATTTTGAAGAATGACCAAGCTCTTTATTTCTATACAATTCACAAATACAGTAAACACAGGACGTCAAGTTTGAAAAATGACAGAAAGGCAACTTTTATGCCATATTGCAGTCTTGTGAAGCCATAAAATAGCTTTGTTTGAGGAATGGCGGTAAATTTGTTGTTATTTATTTAAATATGCGCATATGCAAATGAGATTTGAGAGCTAGTACCATTCAAAAGTTTGTGGTCAGCAAGATTTTTTAATGTTTTTGAAAGGTGTCTTTTATTTTCATTAAAGCTGCATTTATTTGATCAGAAATACAGTAAAAACAGTGAAATGTTATTACAATTTAAAGTGAATGTTTTCTATTTGAATATATTTTAAAATGTAATTTATTCCCGTGATGAAAGCTATCATTACTCCAGTCTTCAGTGTCACAATGATCCTTCAGAAATCATTCTAATATGCCGATTTGCTGCTGAAGAAACGTTTCTTATTATTAATAATTTTGGAAACAATTATGCTGCTTAACATTTTTGTGGAAACTGTGATACCTTTTTTCAGAATTTTTACTGTTTATTAAATTCATAAATTAATAAAATGATACATTTCTTAAGTTCTAAAGTTTAAGTAAAAAATAAAAAATCTTTTGAACAATAGTGTATGTTTTATGCATATTTAAATATATGCAGAACTTATAACTAAATAGAGGTCACCATTATTTGAATGTTTACTGTATTCTCTTTGACCTCATGTATAATTTATGATATAATATAATATGCAATATGATGTAATCGAATAAAAGTACTTGTTATTCTGCCTTGCTGTTCCAATTTAATATCTGTGTCTGTCTGTGTGCGGTCATGTTATCGTGCACCAGTCTCAATGTATTGATTTGCGTATTGATTTTGTCTCGTTCAGTGCCCCCGAAACCCCCGTCCTCTCGCTCATCGAGAAGTTTGAGAGGTGAGAGATCACAATCATTCGAGCGCTTGTCACTGGAGCCGCTTTTTGATTACGGTAGATTTTATTATTCATAACTACAGTTCTGATTTGGTGCTCTCGAGTAATGATATCTCCGTTTGTTGATCACAGGTAAACAAGAAGTTGTATCTTTAATCTCACTGCCAAAAATTATTTATTAATCAGTATTTTTGTCTTGTTTTCCAGTAAAAATATTTAAACATCCTGAAAACAAGATGTACATGAGAAGCAGAATTGCATAATATATTAAGACATTTTTTTTAGAGAATACAGCTAGAGAGTTTCTTATTTTTAACCATACATCTTACTAAATTGATCTTTTTATTTACTTTGGCTTAAAAATGAAGGTAAAGCAATATGTACTTTAGAAGAATTGCATAAGATATTAAGACTTTTTAGAGAATATAGCTGACGAGGATCGGGTCGGTCACGAGAGGGAGATTTGCCCCTGCAGTCCAGGGCCCGGGCTTCCTTGCGGCTATGCCGAGGGGCCCGAAGGAGAGGGGGCCAGCGGTGTGGAGGGCGGCAGAGATTCCGAGGGAGACAGTGATATGGAGGAGGGCAGCGGGGATGAGAGTGAGATGAACCCCATGGCCCTTCAACCTCTGCCTAAAGCTGAACGACAGGACTCCACTGAGGTGAGGATTTATATAGGCACCTATTTGGGAAATTATTAAATAATTTAGTCATGGATTGGTACCAGGGTATTACCAAAGACTCCATATTGACTTCCATATTGTGAATACACACAAACACATACGTATACATGAACAGCTTAATTAATTCTAAGAGATAAATGACAAATTTGGTGCAAGAAACCCTGACTACAGTATATACTTTTAATATATGTATTTATAAATACAATATATTATTAAATATAAACATAATCTGTATTTTAGAATTACATTTTTAATGCAATTTTTATATTTTAAATATTTTTTATTCATTTATTTTTTATTATTTATAAAAATGTTATCTTGTATAATTGTATATAATTTATATATTATATAATTACAATTCTAATTATATATTATAAAATGATATATATTTATACTTTAAAATATTGTTTTGTAAGTAATGTATTTTAATATATAATAAAAAATTAAATAAAATTAACCATAACCCTATGTATGAAAACAAGCATTTTAATATTAACTATGGTTTATATTAAGTATATATTAATATAATATAAACATTTATAAAATAATTATATTATAATATTATAAAATTAATAATATAAACATTTACTTTAACCATATATACTTATGTAATGTATATAACATTTATATATAAATAGATATATAATATATAAAAAAATACATATAAAATTTATTTGTTGAAATTATTTTTAAAATGCATGATATACAAATTACATACTGTAAGTTTTTTAATATTTATTTAATAAAATGTTAGATTTTATTATTTATTTATTTATTTTTATAGCACTACCATTCAAAATTTTAGGGTCAGTAAAATTTCATTTTAATTTAAATTAATACTTTTATGCAGCAATGATGTAATAAATTGATCAGTGGTAAAGACATCTATAATTTTACTAAAGATTTCTATTTTAGTTAAATGCTTCTTTAAAACGTTCTATTCATTGAAGAATCCTGGAAAAAAGTATATTTAAAAAAAAAAATTATTTGTATTTGTTATTTTTAATTATTTGTATTTTGCTCAAATAAATGCATGCTTGGTGAGCATAAGAAACCTTTTTCAAAATCACAAAATTCTTAAATCTGAATGTTTTTAAAAGTTCTTACTGTTAGAAAGAATGAGACTTATTCTATGCACTTCAGTCCAACTTGTTGTCACAGGTTTGTTCAAACTCATTATTCCGCCAACATCTTCTCGTTTTGCAGCTGTCAGTCCAGCAGCGGGTGTTTAACATTGCTAATGAGCTGCTGCATACAGAGAAGGCTTACGTGTCCAGACTGCACCTCCTGGACCAGGTGTTCTGCGCCCAGCTGATGGAGGAGGCCCGAGCTCGCAACTCCTTCCCCTGTGAGGTGGTCATGGGCATCTTCTCCAACATCTGCTCCATCTACTGCTTCCACCAGCAGTTCCTGCTGCCCGCGCTGGAGAAACGCATGGAGGAATGGTGAGAAAGAAAGAAAGAAAGACTGTGAGATTGATTTTATTATGGTAAAATGGTAATGTTACTAATGTTTTATCTTGCTGTCAAGTCCAATTTATTAATATAGCACTTTTCACAATACACATTGTTTCAAAGTAGCTTTGCAGAAAATCATGATGTTAATGTTTATATCTCAATTAGTGCTGTCAAACGATTAATCGTGATTAATCGCATCCAAAATAATAGTTTTTGTTTACATACTATATGTATGTGTACTGTGTTTATTTATTATGTATATAAAAAATGCACACACAGACAGTATATATTTTGAAAATATTTACATGTATATGCATTTATATTATTATATTTTATATTATATATAAATATATTTAATATATAAACATAGCATATTTTGCTTAAATATATACATGCATGTGTTTGTATTTATATATACATAATAAATATACACACTCATATATTATGTAAACAAAACCGTTTATTTTGGATGCGATTAATTGCGATTAATCGTTTGACAGCACTAATCTCAATATCTTTATGCCTTATAGTCACATGATTTAGCAGACTAGGGCTGGGCAATAATGTAATTTTGTGAGTTGAGATATGTTATCGTATGTAGTAGAAGTAAAAAATTATTCTTACACAATATTTTTGTCTTGTTTTCCAGTACAAATATCTAAACATTCTCAAATCATGATACATTTACTTGAGAAGCAAAATGATTTAAGATATTAAGTCTTGTTTTCTGAAAAACGTATACAAAATAAGTCAGGTTATGCTTAAAATGAGAAAAATATCTGCCAATGGGGTAAGAAAAAGAAACTTAATTCAAAGGGAAAACAATATTATTTTCTTGTTTTAAGCATAAACACCTAATTTTGATTTAAATTCAGAAAACAAGAGAAAATATCTGACGTTTAGATATTTGTACTGAAAAGCAAGACAAAAATACTAAGATACTAAGTCATTTTACTGTATGTATGTGAATAAATTTGGGCATACTTATATATTCAACTTTATATAATAAGCTAGGCAATATTAATGTTAATGCTAATAAATGATTCTATATATGTTATTAATAAAAATTTATAAAAAAGTTAATAAAATATGACCGGTATTATATGTGACCCTGGAGCACAAAACCAGTCTTAAGTCGCTGGGGTATATTTGTAGCAATAGCCAAAAATACATTGTATGGGTCAAAATTATTGATATTTCTTTTATGCCAAAAATCATTAGGATATTAAGTAAAGATCATGTTCCATGAAGATATTTTGTAAATTTCCTACTGTAAATATATCAGCACTTAATTTTTTATTAGTAATATGCATTGCTAAGAACTTCATTCGGACAACTTTAAAGGCGATTTTCTCAATATTTAGATTTTTTTGCACCCTCAGATTCCAGATTTTCAAATAGTTGTATCTCAGCCAAATATTGTCCTATCCTAACAAACCATACATCAATGGAAATCTTATTTATTCAACTGTCAGATTATGTATAAATCTCAATTTCGAAAAATTTACCCTTATGTCTGGTTTTGTGGTCCAGGGTTACATATGTGATTAGCTGAATTATATTATGATATTCTAGACCAGTGTCTCTCAACCCTGGTCCTGGGCGCCCCCCAGCACTGCACATTTTGTGTGTCTCCCTAATCAAACACACCTGATTCAGCGCGTTAGCTCATTAAAAGAAACTCCAGGACCTGAAATGGGTGTCAGATAAGGGAGACATACAAAATGTGCAGTGTTGGGGGGCGCTCAGGACCAGGGTTGAGAAACACTGTTCTAGACAGTAGACTTGGCACATTAACAGATTATTTGATGTTTTGTCAAACGTGAAGACTATTTTAGACTAATAGCTTTCACGTTGGCTCGTGCAATCAGATCTTTTTTCTTTTGGACATAACTAGAAATTTTGGATGGATTTTGAATTTAGAGGACAAACGGATGTTTCCAAGTATCCAAGTGACATATGTGTTTCCACAAACTAAATTTTGTGTAGAAATAGTCTAATTTTGGAAAGGGAAGGGTGACCTTCACAAAGAGTTGGGCGAACCTTGACTTCCACCCCTCTCCCCTCAGGGATCTGAACCCCCGCATCGGGGACATCCTGCAGAAACTGGCGCCTTTCCTGAAGATGTACGGCGAGTACGTGAAAAATTTTGACCGGGCCATGGAGCTGGTGAACACCTGGATGCAGCGCTCCTCTCAGTTCAAAGCCATCATTCACAACATCCAGGTACCAGACTGCGATCCAAACACTTTGTGCTAAACTAACCATGCTCTGTGTGTTTGTATCATGCATAAATATTGGATGAAATGCAGTACTATCGTTCAAAGGTTTGGGGTCAGAATGATTTTTTTAAGTAAACTTAATACTTTACATCATAATTTCATATTGTATCATAAAAAGAACACAGTAATCATTAAAATAATGGTTACCTCAATTTAGTTATGTCTTGCATATATTTATGCATGCACAAAAGTAATTTTTTTCGTTTAAAAGAAATTAATACTTGGATGCATTACATTAATCAAAAGTAACAGTATTTAAGACATTTATTATTATGTTACAAAGATTCTTCGAATAAATGCTGTTCTTTTGAACAATTTGAACCTTCTGTTCCTCAAAGAATCCTGAAAAAATTCAACATTGATGATAATATTAATAAGATATGTTTCTTGAGCAGCAAATCAGCATATTAGAATGATTTCTGAAGGATCATGTGACTGAAGACTGGAGTAATGATGCTGAAAATTCAGAATTGCATCACAATAATAAATTACATTTTAAAATATATTCAAACAGAAAACAGTGATTTTAATTTGTAATAATATTTCACAATATTACTGATTTTACTGTATTTTTGATCAAATAAATGCAGCCTTGGTGAGCAGAAGAGACTTCTTTCAAAAACTTTTAATGATAGTAATTAAAATAGGAAAAATATGCAATATGATAATAATTGAAGACAAAATGTGTTTTACTGAGAAAAAACAAGATTTGGTTTTTAAAAAACCTTTTTCCAAAAGGTACATCTGGAAAAAGGGGGGTCGTCTTATAATCAGGGTCGTCTTATATTCGGGCCAATACGGTATATTTAAAATCAACCACTATTTTATATGAAAAATTACTCATTACAGTGCATTCTGGTCTTTCCTTTCCAGGAAGTATGCAAATTATGCTGCATTTTTTTAGACTAAAATTACATCAAAACAATCTTAACAGGGGCTTTTTGTAATGGACTTTGAGTCAGTAGCATATCTAGACAGAACAGAACGCTGAATAGATTTTTAAAAATTGTCTCTTTAAAATTCAAACTGTGATAATGTTAAGGCATAAACCGTTTTCTATTAACATAAAGTGGAAGTCAGATGTGTTGAGTGCTGTTGAGCATCACACTCTCAGCTGAACTGTGTGAAAATAAGAGTCTTCCCAACCCCCTCACTGTTATAATGAGTGTTAATTGCGTGCAACCCTGCATAACTCACAGCCGTGGACTGAATGAACAGAGCATGTGTTAGTCACACAGTAATCTCTTTCATCAGGTGCACTCCACCAAATTCACCTTCACAGTCTGAGACAAGAGCGGTCGTGTTAAAAATAACGAGAGCGCTCCCACGGCTCAGCCATGATTGAGTGCGTCAGATGAAAGAGGGAGTCGCTGTGGGTGCGCAAGTGTTTTTGGGGAGTTGTAGGTTATGGTGAATACTAATGGCGCCCCAATCAGGCCTGGTGCGGCACTTCAAACGTCTCTGGTTGCCACTGTGTGGAGAATATTAAGAGAACGCACGGCCCGGTGCCTGAGATCACAGCACTGCTGGAAGGAGATCAGGCATGTCACGGGCTCCATCACACACGGGTTACACTACCAATGAATCATGTTGATTGTGCGTGGCTGTGTTTTGGGAGTTTGCCTTATTGTTAAAGACAACATGAAGCAGCATTCGTTCAACACATTTAACTTTTGCAACGTGATGTATTTCAGAGTGAAACTAAATATTCAGTGGGAGATAAAGTAGGCAGAGACTTGATTTCTTCCAGCAGGATTTTATTGCATTATGAAAAGTAAAATCATTTCTGAGCAAAGTATTAAACTTTGAAAACGCCCATATTAAAGTAAGCTGAGCATACAGACTTGATGACGAAATATATATAATTAAATATGTATATATAACTAAAACAAAGTAATATAATTAAATCATAATTAAAATATGTATTATATTATATATTATAATATCATTTCAATATTATTTTAATAATGCATACTTTAGAAATATGTGTAATATATAATGTTTTTAATATATAATATTTTAATGAAAGCTTATATATTAGAGCTGTCAAACATTACAAATCACGTACTAAATAAAAGTTTTTGTTTGCATAATATATGTGTGTGTTCTGTGTATATTTATTATGTATATATAAATACACACACATGCATGTATATATTTAAGAAAAATGTTTCTCAAAATCTTATGTTTATAGATTAAATATATTTATATATAATATAAATTATATGAATATAAATGTATACATGTAAATATTTTCAAAATATATACTGTATGTGTGTGTATTTATATATGCATAATAAATATACACAGTACACACACATATATTATGTAAACAAAAACTTTATTTTGGATGCGATTAATTTTAATATATAATATTTTAATGAAAGCTTATAAAAACATAAAAACAAGTATTTTATATATATATATATATATGTGTGTGTGTGTATATGTAATATGTGTAATACATCATGTATTTTAATATATATTTTAATTAATGCGTATGAAAAACTGAAGTATATATTAAAACATAAAAATTATATATATATATATATATGTGTGTGTGTGTGTGTTAATAAAATAATAATACATGATTATATATATACTTTAATAATATATTTTGATAATATATATTTTAATAATAATTATCTATCTATCTATCTATCTGTCTGTCTGTCTGTCTGCACACACACACACAAACACTTTAATAATACTCATGTCATGTGTATAATATATCATGTCTTATATATTTTAATGAAAGCAAAAATAAAAAGCAAAATCTCACACACACACACACACATAGATTATATTATACTTCAATAATAATGTTTACATATATAATACATATAATTATGTGCACAGATGAATTGTCCAAAATAAATGTAGTAAATGCAGTCAGTCTTTATTTCATATCTTTAAAGTATCTGCTTTTGCAAATATTCCGAATTTGTGTGTGGGAATGGACCGGTGCATGGTTTGTTTTTGCTCATCGGATGATTTTGGGTGTGTTTTGCAGAAAGAGGAGATGTGTGGGAATCTTACCCTACAGCACCACATGTTGGAGCCTGTGCAGAGGATCCCTCGCTACGAGCTCCTGCTCAAAGACTATCTGCACCGCCTGCCAGAGGACGCGGACGACTTCAAAGACGCTCAGAGTGAGTGCAGAGCAGCGGAACGCTCAAATGGGCCTTATCTCCTCCACTGACCGCAGCGGCCCACTTTCTGTTTCATTTCAGCTATTGGTGCATGTGCCTGGAAATATTGCAGTGAAAAGGTTCATGCAAGGTTAACAGGCCAAGATAAAAGGCAAAATGGAAAAATGACTCTTTGTGAATATCAAGTCCTTTATCCTTTACAGAATCTCTGGAGCTGATCGCCACAGCGGCAGAACATTCAAACGCTGCCATCAGGAAAATGGTGAGGGCAGTTTCAGATGAACCACACACACTCCATCTGGGGTGAAAAGCAACACTGCCACTTATAACATCCCTTTGTAACTAAGCATGGTTGCCTCTTTAATGTGAGGTCTGTTGTGAAAGTCTCTCATTTGAATCTGTTAATTGCTTATGTTTTTATTATCTACATTTTGAGACACAAGACACCTCCCTCCAAGTAGACCTGACCTAAAACAGACAACGTCAAATCTGGCGTTTTTATCATCACTCAAAACAAGGTCATAAACATGTCATAACAAAGTCTAATTCTAGTTGTGAAGAAATCAATTGGAATTATTTGCAAGTAATATTTTAAAATAAAATATGCACACATTCACTCTTCTTTGTGTGCTTAATATTTCAAAAGCACTAAACATTTCTTGTTTTGTCACATTGAGTTATGAATTACACGAATCATGTACTGTAAACGATAGCATATTTTCAATTCAAATTGACAAAATTTCAGAAAGCAAGTTGAGTAGTTTTGCATAATTGGATATATACAATATTAAATAATAATTATTTATTATAAAACTTTAATAAGATATAGCCTACTGTAGCGATATGTATAATATATCATGTGTTTTAAAAAAAATTTTTTTTTTATATTACTAACATATATTAAAATATTACTAAAGTATATATTAAAATTATATAAAAATAACAATTTAAATATATATGTATATTTTAATATAGTTTATATATATGCAT